CTTAGATCTCATGCTCACCTAGACCCGTGAACCCTGCATGCACCTCGCATGCCATGCTGGGCCTGATGGTGCAAGTCTTCCCTCTCACTGCGGTTCCTTCCCCTTTCTGCAGGGCTTGGGTCTGCCTTGGAGCATCCTCCCAGTGTTCCTCCTGGGTCCTAGGGTCACTGTCTGCTGCTTCGGATTGCAGCTTGTTTGACTGGGGCTGTAAATCGGTGGTAAGGCATTTGTTCAGCATGCTTGAAGCCCTGGGTTCATCCCCAGGAAAAAAAAAAAGCAAACAGATCTCAGCGCAGGCTATTCAGCCCTGTTCTCTAAGAACGAACTGGATGATTTCCTGGTGTCCCCACACCCCAGTCAACCCAACACCCATCAGTTTGACTGTCTCCACTTTGTCCTTACCTCTGGCCTATGGCTCCCAGTGTGGCATCACTCTCAGAAGGCAGTGGTAACCTCTGATAGGGCTGGCTGTGGGCCACTGGTCCCTACAGCATGCACTGATGGCTGACTTGTGGGTTCATGGGGGGTCTGTGTCTCAATCCCCATCTAAGACAGAAGCTACGGGGCTTCAGCGCTTCTGTGTTCCCTGTGGGACCTAAGCAAACATTTTCCCTGTGAACACTTGTGGGCTCCTCTGCCCAAAAGTAGATCTGGAGGATATGCAATCTGTTGGACAGGGTGCAGAGGGTAATAGGGCCTGCAGGGTTGATTCTCCAGGAGGCATCTAGGAAACTTCCTGGTGACCTTGTGGCTGGAAAGTCCCAGATAAAGAACTTGAGGGCCAAAAAGCCTGAATAGAGTTTGTCTTGGGGCCTCCTTGGGATGATATTTGGGGGGGGGTATGATAAATAGTAAAGGGTTCTAATCTGGGTTTCTAGAAGGTTGAGGCTGCAAGGAATCAGCTCTCCACGGACTGGGACAGCTAATGGACTGTGTATTATCCTCGTGGCCTTTGGAGTATCTGGCTCTGTCAGGTGCAGGCTCTGGGCCCTCTGTACATCACCTCAGTGGTGGAGGAGTCAGTGGTGTGACCGTTACTGGAGCGGATGGAAAAGCAGGGAGGAAACGTGTCTGCCCAAGGTCACAAATCAGCGTCATAGTTCAGACTCTCCAGCCTGCCTGGCACGTGCCATGAGAGGGACAGTCGCAGCCTCTCTGTGCAGAGGGCCCAGAAGAGTGACATTTCCAGCCAGGGTTCAACACCCACTGTCTGTGGGTGAGCAGAGCCGAGGGGGGAACCATTTGGACTTGATAGTCCTGTGGGTGGGAGGAGAAGGGACAAGGAACATCTTCTATGAGGCTGGCGAGTGCAGGACAGTTTGTTTCCGTGGCCCTAGCCCTGCAGAGTCTGTGGGGCGAATTATAAGATGGTAATAATAAGGCTGTTGGCAGTGCCGGGGTGGAACCCAGAGCTTCACACAGGCTAGGCGAGCATGCTACCATATAATGTTACTTGCGTGTATGTTTTCAGGGCCGCCATTGGACGGCGACTTGGTGTGCTCTTCACTAGGGAGGACGACCTCCCCACTCTTGGCTTCCTGCACTTGCCCCTAGTTCTTTGTGTAGGGCTGAGGCCTCATGGGCTTTTCCCCATACGGGCTGGAATGTTCGTTGGTGTCAGCCTGTGTTTGGGAGGTCATTTTGGAAAGATTTCATGGATGTGTCTTCTGATGCTATTAGGAGAACAAAGGTCTTAGAGAAAAGCCCCTGATCCTTTTGCCTCTTAAAAACCTTCCTGCCTTCTCTTCCACCATGTTCCCGGAGCCTTGGGTGCAGGAGTGCTTTGTGGATTAGGGCTCCACAACCCTGCATTTTGATTGGCTGCGGTTTCTCTAGTGATCTCAGTCTGTTACAAAGAGAAGTTTCCTTGACAAAGGATGGAGTACTCTTATCTGTGGGACTTAAAGATTGTTGTTAGAGAGATTATGTTGGTTTGGTAAATTAGTGGTTGTTGATCTCCTCCAATAACAATAGATTTACTAACACTGAGTAGTTGGCTAAGCCACTAGTAGCAGGCAAGATATCCCTTTTGCAAAGCTGGTCTTAAATCCAATTAGAAAGCTAATGGTTATCGCCATGGTTATGTATGCACAGGGTTATTGTGCCATGGTAGCCATTGAGGTGGTTCATAAGTGCCATAGCTTCTTTGTGTGTGTGTGTGTGTGTGTGTGTGTGTGTGTGTGTGTGTGTGTGTGTGTGTGCTTGGTGTATGCAGGTATCTACCGAAGCCTGGTCTCTTGGAGCTAGAGTTACAGGCTGTTGTCAGCCACCAAAGTGGATACTGGGAATAGAGCTCAGATCCACTGGAAGAGAGAATACACATTCTTAACCCCTGAACCATCTCTCCTGCCTAAGGTCTTGAACTTTTGATCCTCCTGGCTTGTAGCTGAGATTACAGGACTATTCTACCAGAGTTTGTTTAGAACAACCTGTTAGGAGGCTAAGTTGGACATGATGGCATTTCCAACTGCGAAGGCAGAGGCAGGAAGATGTCTGTGAGTTCAAGGCCAACCTGGTCAATATGGTGAGTTTCAGACCAGCCAGGGTATGGGGGATGCTAAGGCAAACCAGTGGAGTACAGGTCTTAAACCTGGTCTTAAACCTCTTTCCCTGCTTTGGCTACACCAGCCCCAGTATGAAGATGAGCACTTCGTATAGTGGGGTGACCTCAAGGGGGAGTGTGTCATCCTGGAACCTGGAGCAAGAGAAGGGCAAGAGGCAGGGGCAGCATCCTCAGAGCCCAGAGAGTGCCAGCCTCAGGGTTTCACTTCAGACTCCGCAGGGAGAAGCAGCATGTGCCAAGGCGGGGTATTCAAAGGACATAGTGCTTCCGTCGCAGGGCCAACAAACTTAGTGGGAGGGCATGGGACTCACCACCCAAGTCCAGCAGAAACCTTTGAGGAATAAAGGCGACTCTGACCCCTGCTGGGACTTAAGGGAATGTGTACATGAGAAACAGGTCCCTCCCCAAGACGCAATGGCTAAAGCCCGGGTCTTAAACAGGGGTCTGGACTTGCAGAGGATCCCACAGTCATCTCTGGAGATGTTCTGCCCGCTAACCCTGGCTCTGGGCAGGCGGGTGGGGGAGGAGGAGGCTCTCCCTCCAGCCTAATGTCATCAGGAAGAAAGGCTTTCTCTTTCTTGGCTGCCGCCAGCCTCAATCTGTGTTTCCCATGGGCCTGTGGGAGGCGTCTCTGCCAGACCAGAAGGATGGAGGGGGAGGGGAGGCATCCGATGGACCTGAGAAATGAGCTGTGCTCTGTGTCCATTTGTTGGGTGCAGGGTGCTTGTGCCTGCATTGGGATGTTTGATGCCGAGAAGGGATCCCAACATCTGGGCTGTGTCTGTGGGCAAGCCCAAAAAGGCTTCCCCGGCTCTTCACGTCCCTGAAGGCCTCGGCCCGAGGGTGGAGCCGTCCATATAAAACAGCAGTTCTCAACCTGTGGGTTGTGGCCTTTGTGGGGGCTCCATGTCAGATATCCTGCGCATCAGACATTTACAGTAGCAAAATTACAGTTATGAAGTAGCAATGAAAATACTTTTATCATTTGGGTCACCACAACAAGAGAAACTGTGTTAAAGGGTCACAGCTCAGGAAGGTTGAGAACCACTGCTTTGGAGGCTTCTGTTGGGCAGATCTGTTAAAATCAAATGAGATCTTTCAGGTCCTCTGCTGGCTCCCCCTCCCCACCTCCTACTGGGTTGCTTTATTGTAATTTGTGTGGATGCTGGGGATGGAGCCTGGAGCCTTTAAATTCTTTCTTCTTTATTATTATTTTCTTTTTGAGGCAGAGTCTCACATACCCCAGGCTGGCAACCAATTATAGACAGAGCCAAGGATGATCTTGAACTCCTGACCCTCCTGCCTTCACCTCCTGAGCACCGGATTACAGCCGCATTGCGCACAGCAGGTTTTATATGGTGCTGAGGATGGAACCCAGAGCTTTGTGAATGCCGGGCGAGTCACGTCCCCAGCCCCTGGGTTATTTCAAAGTCAGCCCCAGGGGCCATATCATTTAATCTGTGCCTGTTGAGCACGGCTCTAGGAGACAGACTGACAGCCACAGTGTCGCTGTCATCCTGAAAGACAGCTAGTGATGTTGTTTACTGTTGCAGGGGTCACCAGGCATGGTGCCACCAAGCCTGGCAATGTGAGTTCTTGAGTTTAATGACAGGGCCCGTGTGGTAGAAGGAGAAAACGGACTCCACAGTTGTCCAGCGTGGTGTGCAGACCACCACTGACTCACTGGCGTTGGGGTCAGTGTTTGACAAGGCCTCTTTATAGAGATCAGGTGTAATAGTGGCGGGTTTTTTGTTTTTACCTCCTGTGATGCTGAGATAGATCGTGGTTTCAGGACTCCATTATAGCTTTGGGCCTCAGATTTGACTCCAGAGCATGAGCAGTGGGGAAGACTAATTAATAGACAGCAGGTTCTGCCCTACACCCTGGGGTGCCAGATTCTGTCAGGGTGGGGCCCAAGAATGTACAGTGTTAGCAAGCTCTCTGGTGATGTCACTCTTTGGAGGCTCTGCCATGAGCCACTGTGTCCCAACCCCTCTAAGTCACTAAATGCACACAGGGGTCTTCCGGCAGTGTGCTGGGATACGTTTTTGTTTTGTTTTGTTTTTTAACTTGTTTGGAGTGGAGGTGATTCTGTAGCCCAGGCAGGCTATGAACTTGTGTCCCTGCTGCCTCATCCTCCCAAGTCCTGGGAACAGGCTTGAGCCTCTCTCTGTCAAGCCAGTGGTGGGATTCATTCGATCTCAGTGTTCTAAGTCACCAGCCACTGCCAACCCTATTACCAGCCCTTGAATTCACCGTAATTTCCCTTCCCACACTTGGGCCTTCCAGGAAAGGGGTGACTTCAGAGAGCAATAGCCTCCAAGAGCAGTGACCCAGATAGTCCTTCCTTGCCTCAAGCCCTCGGCACTACGTAAGCTCTGAGCCAGCCTTGGGGTAGAGATTGGTAACTGAATGAAATCATAGTCACCTCTCTTTACAAACCTTCTGGAACATTCTGCTTTGGAATGTTCTAATCTCTGGTTCAGGATGCTAGGTTTGCTCATTTCCATAGCTTTCTCCTTCACAGGCAAGTTGTCAGAGTCAGGGCTCCCCGGAACTTAGCCATCACCTGTGGTAGGGTGACCAGCTTGTCCATCTGTCTGGGACAGCGTCAGGTTTGGGGGCTTTGTTTGTTTGTTGTTTTTCTTCCAGTCCTAGACATTAAACCCAGGGCTTTGCACATGATAGGTAAGTGTCCTGTCTCCAAGCTGTATCCTCAAACCTGTGTCATTGTGTTTGTTTCCTGAGATGGGATCTCACTATGTAGTCCAGGCTAGCCTCAAAATTTTGACAGTCCTACCTGCGCCTCCCAAGTGCTGGAATCCAGATGTCAAACCACCATGCCCAGCTCCTTTTGTCAAGTTTTTATTTCGAAGCAGACTCTTACTACATTTCCCAAGTTGGTCTTGAGCCTGAAATCCTCTACTTTGGCTTCGTAGCTATAGCACAAAACCCCTTGTCCAGGGAGCCATCTGTGGTCCCTGGCAGACAGGTTCAGTCAGTCACTTTCCTGAGGAGTCACCCAGCCTCTCCTTACTTTGAAATTGGGAGGGGGTCCCTACTTGCCTGTGTCTCTGTGACACTTGATATCATTGCTGGCTGGAGGAGGAAGAATTGTGACATTTGACATCATTGCTGGCTGGAGAGGGCAGAATTAAAAGGTGCCTCGTAGCAATAAGTTGTGGTTTCAGTCAGGACTTGGCCTCAGATTGAGACACTGTGTTGAGAAACCTTTACCAGAAGGAGCCAGGACCTGTGGTTTCTCCTTCCCTGTGAGAAAACACCCGTGAAAGGCTGGGGAAGCAGAGATGTTGGTACATAGCCTTGACCCGAAAGGGCCGTCTGGAACTCTCTGATTGGCTCCCGAGCCAGCTGCTCCACCTCATCTGGCATGGATTGGGTCCTCACTAGGAATTCTGGGTGCGTTAAAAAGAAACTTGGCAAAACGACTTTGCGGGTAAGATAGCTCCCCTGATGACTTGAGTTCGGTGTTGGAACCCATGTGGAAAGCCAGTTGCTCTAGGGCACATCTGTGCAGCACTTCCATGGTGATGGAAGGTAAAGACAGGAGAATCATCTGGACACTTGAGAGGCACCGTGGCACACAGGGCCCCTGTGGTACCATGGCCACCTGCCTCGACGTGATGGCAAGAGAGCCATCTACCAAGGACTGGTCTCTGACCTCCACCGAGAGATTTATCCTCAGGGTTGAGGCCAAGGTCAGGGTCATGGTGCACTCCATTAGGTAAGCCAAGGATCTTAGTCTGTGTGTGCGTGCACCCCTATTCGGGTCTTACTGTGTCAATTCTTGGTCTTTGAAGATCACTTTCAAATAAAGTTGTTTGGCTTGGTTTGATCTTGTGAGGCGGTGTCTTGCTGAGTAGCCCAAGGTAGCTTTGGATTTGCTGTGTACCTCAGGTTGGCCTTGGATTCCCTGTTTAGTGGAGCTGACTTTAAACCCTTGACCGTGTGCTGGGATTTGGCAGGTGTCTCCATACCTATCTGGCCCTTCTAATCTCCCTCTAATAACCAGGCTATGATAGGAAGCGGCTGTTCAGCCTCGCCCACAAAGCACTTACAGGGAGTGGCCTCTGTGCCCACAAGGTCAAATTTTAAGAGGAAGAAACAAAAGATAGCAGATGTGGAATGTCTCTGGAAATAGCAGGCTCCGGCCCGGCCCACCTGTCCTCAAACCAAATCAGGTAAAGTCCTCCTTACCACAAGGCCGTCTGCAGTGGCACTACGGAATGCGCCATTGGGTGATTTGTGCCCCTTCCAACTTGGGTTCCAGGTCGGCTACCTGCAGGGCTGGGTGAAGAAGGGGGCCTAGGAAAGCAGGAAGGAAAATCCCCCACCCCCCACCAGCAGCAGCATCATCCACGCGCGCACGTGCACACGCACACACACACGCACACACACACACACACACAGGCCACCAGAAGAGGTCCCCTTTGCCTTCCCACAGTTGCTGCTCATACTGGTGCCATTTTGGTCACGTGGCTTCCCCTGCACATTCCCCACCTACCTCTCAAAAGGGTGGTAGAGAATGAGGCAGTCAGTCCCCTCATTCCACAGCCAAATGTTAGGATAGACACATCTCCCCCCCTACCCCCCACCCCACCCCCTTGGCTGTTACACTTAGAGTCAGCGAAAGCCTTTTCAGGGTGACTGCCCCAGCCTAATCCCATGGCGTCAAGCCACTGGGCACACACAGGGTGAAGCTGTCCCAGGGACACTCCAGAGAAGCCTGCTGTGGAGGGAGGGAGGCCCTGCCTGCAGCCCAGACAAGAGCCCGCTAGCAGGGGGACTGAAACCGTTGCTCCTGAGTTGCAGAGTCATCAAAGCCACACAGGGTCTCTGAGCCGAAGGTCCCAAGCACAGCTGGGACAATGCCAGCACCCTGAGAGCTCCCTGATGAATGCAGGGCTCACACACAGGTGTGCACACGGTTTCGCGTTACAGACACTCCCATGCTGCACGCAGAGGGCCTGGCCTTGCCGATGCCATCCTCCCCCACTTCTGTGACCTCTCCCCCATTTCAAAGGTCTGGACAGACCTTGACAATAGAGGACGGGGGGTGGGGCAGATGGGTAGGGCAGGCACACTGCTCTGCCCTGGGGTGGGGCAGATGGGTAGGGCAGACACACTGCTCTGCCCTGGGTGGTTTCGTCCATGGAGGCCAGCAGCTCCCCTCACAGAGGCGAGGCACGAGTCTCTGAGACACGTACTTGTGTCATCCTGTTTTATAGACGAGGAAATGGATGCCCCAAGGTTAATCATTTGTCTAGCATAGTGAGACAAAGTTGGAACTGGAGGCCAGACTGACTGGCTGCAGAGAATCCCCCGCGGTCCTCACCCAGTTAGCAGGGGAGCTTGTTTGGTGAGAAGAGTTGGGGGTGGGGGCTGTAGCACATATTCTGTGGTCCCTCTGCTTTTGGGGGTTCATACTTGGAAAAAACTGAAAAGCCTTAGTGTATCAGCAAACAAATCAATAATAATGTCTCGCAACGATCTCTGTAAGTTCGAGACCAGCCTGGACTACCAAGGGAGTTCCAGGACAGCCTCCAAAGCCACAGAGAAACCCTGTCTCGAAAAACCAAAAAAATAATAATAATAATAATAATGTCTCGCAGCCTCCTCTATAGCCGCAGCGATACCCTGTTCGCCTGGCCGTTCTTCTTAGAGGACCACTGCCTTTGTAGAATTGGCCACTGTCACCAGACTTGGGGGCACAACCTGTAATCCTAAGAGGTTAAGGCAAAACAGTAGCGAGTTCCAGGCCATCCCGGCCTGTACAGTGCGTTCCAGGCCAGCACGAGCTACACACTGAGACCTTACCTCAGAAAGAATGAGCAATGAAGCCTGACCAGCTGTGCCTGTTAAGTAGTCTCAAGTGTGCCCCATGAGGGGGCAGCGAGCCTCACACCATTGGTCCCTCCACCCCTGCAGATGTCATGGCACCCCCAGTACCGCAGCTCCAAGTTCCGACATGTCTATGGCAAGCCCGCCAGCAAAGAGAACTGCTACGACTCGGTGCCCATCACACGCAGCGTCCATGACAACCACTTCTGTGCCGTGAACCCCCACTTCATCGCTGTGGTCACTGAATGCGCCGGCGGAGGGGCCTTCCTCGTCATCCCCTTGCACCAGGTAAGGCCCCAGTGACCTCAGGGCCCAGACTCGTCCCTAGAAGCCTGGGGGACAGACGGAAGGGTAGGGAGCCCAGTCCAGACGGGACTGAAGACCTGGCCTGCTTCCCTCTGTGTGAGCCTGTGTCGGCCAGCTCTGTGTCTTGGTTTCCTTCTTGGGGAAAATCCTCGTCCTGAGAGCTGAACACTCAGCAACTGGCCTAGCCGCTTCTAGGGCCTTCTCTCAGCCATGCAGAACAGTGCTCACTCCAGATTTTTCTCTCTTGAATGAAATACAATTAATTATTAGCACATTTCTGGGCTCATGTGAATGAAATTGGGGAGATTGCCCAAACCACCTCCCCTTGGGAAAGAACCTACGCTGGAGAGGTAAACCGCAGGCAGAAGGGAGGACACAGTGCTTAGAGCCAGCAACAGGCCTCGAACCATTGCTGCTGCTCAGTGTTTGGACCCACAGAGCGATAGCTTCATATGGGTCACCCTAGACTTTGTGGGACACCTGTGCTGAGTCTGCCTTCGGCCGACCCACCCGCTGAACAGGCCTGGGGGGGCGGGGCTCCCAGGCTGTACTTCTGCCTCATGGCAGCAGAGGCTGGGAAGCCAGACCATGGGAAAGCAGCCCACACTTAGATCAGGCAACTGGGAGGCCCCAAAGACAGTCGAGCAAGAGTCTGCTGGAAGGCAGGAAGCTCACCTGGAGCCCTGGGGAGGGAGGACCCCTGGAGCACTGGGGAGGGAGGACCCGTGCAGCCAACGCCCGAGTGAGATGAGCTCAGAGACGGCATTCCTCCTCACAGCACAGCAGGCTTAGAAACCAGCAGCAGCAGACAGACTGAAGCTGGCTGCCCCGGCTCATTTGGAATGCTTGCTTGCTTTGTCACAGGGTCTCCTGTAGTCCAGCTCTTGAACTCTGTGTAGCCAGGGCTGGCCTTGACCTCATCCTCCTAAGTTCACCACCCAAGCGTGAGTTACACGTGTGTGCCACGTTTCCAGATAATTTGTAAGCCAGAGGGGGAATCAAAATGAAAATTTGCTTATTATGTTATTATTTACCAGTTTATTGAGTGTGCATGCATTCCTCTGTGTCTGTGGTGTGTGCGTGTGTGTGTGTGTGTGTGTGTGTGTGTGTGTGTGTGTGTGTGCTGTGTGTGTGTGCATGTGTGTGCGTGTGTGCATGTGTGTGTGCCTGCTCACGTGGAAACCAGAGGTGCTCCATCCCTGAACTGGATCTGTAGTTGTTAGCTGCCTGATTTGTGTGCTGCGAACCATTTTCTCGGGTCCTCACTCTTAACTACTGAGCCATCTTCAAACCCCACCCCTCATCCCATTTTGAGACAGAGTCTTTCTCCGTCTATGTTAGCCTCAGATTCATGGCAGCATCCTGCCTCTGCCTCCAGAGTGCTGGGATCGCAGTGTGAGCCACCACACACAGCTGAGGGTACTTGCTTAGTAAAGAACTCAGTTCCTGGGGATGAGGATGTGGCTCTGTTGGTAGAGTTTGTGCTAACTTGAATGAAGCCGTGAGCTCTGTTCCCAGCGCTGCATAACCCTGCATTGTTGTACACACCTATAACCCCGCACTCAGGAATGAGGCTGCCAGGGTTAAAAGTAGAATCATCCTCAACTCCATAAAGAGACTGAGGGCAGCCTGGGCTTCATGAGATCTTCTTTTAAAAAACCACTTCCTGAAGTCACACACCAGACACCTAGTTTAGTTCTGACTGTAATCCTAGCACCTAGGAGGATGATTACCACAAGCTTGAGGCCAGCCTGGGCCACAAGAGACCCTGTCTCTAAATAAATAAATAAATAAACAAATAAACAGCCGGGAGAAAGAGTAAGCAATGGAGTGAGTGTGGGAGTGTTGTCGTATTATTACCCAGTGGGGAGACCCTGTCTGTATCAGTAGTTACTGCTGCGGCACTTAACATGCACAACACATAACTACATAAACAATCTCACGCTGAGATTACAAAGCACAGACTCTGTATTCCATTTCCCTGAAACTAAAAACAGTTGCACTGTAAGGACCGAATAATTAAGCGGTAAATTTTCAAAGGAAAACAACTTAGGGAATTCCATGAAAACCAATACACTAGCTCCATCTTGCAGCAGGGAGTGGCTGTGATGTCAGGCACTTCAAAGGTTCCTACACGCTAGTGATGGCTCCCACCTTTCCTAGGAGGCCCCGGTCATGTTTATCTGTTGATTTATTGCCCAAATGTTCATGCGACTGAACATTTCAAGCCCATGCACTCTGGGACATGTTTGTTGCACTTTACATATACAAATACAAATGAGAATAATGCCAGGGTTAGATACCATTACAGCTTTCCGGAGGACCTGGGTTCAATTCCCAGCACCCACATGGCAGCTCACAACTGTCTGTAATTCCAGTTCCAGAGGATCTGGCACCTCACACAGACATATATGCAGGTAAAACATAACACACATAAAAATAAATAACTTTTAAAAAGAGAGAGAGAAAGTAAAATGAGACAGCCATAAAAAAAGTCCTACAAAGCTTTCAAGGAAGTGATTACTCTAAACTGCATGACCAATCCCAGAAATAGGGAAAGGGACAGCTCCCTCTGGTGTTCTGGGAAGCCCATGTAGCCTTGATTCCAAAGCCACGCAAGGACAGACTGAGCAGATCTGCTGCGCTCCAGATGAGGAGTGCAGACTGACAAGCAAAGATGTTCTAAGTGCAGACACATCTGGGCTGGGAGCGTGGCTCAGGAGAGTGCTGGCTTGCCTGCTCTCCTGAAGCTCCCCAGAAATGCCTATAACCCCAGTGCTTGCCATGTGGAGGCAGGAGGCTCAGTCTTCAAAGATGACTTAGCAAGTTCAGGGCCAGCCTCAGATACGTAAATGAGATGGGTGTTTCAAAAAAAGGAAGGAAAGAGAAGGAGGGAGGGAGGAAGGAAGGAGTCATCTGGGTCAAGGTGGATTTATTCCAGAATCTAAAGGTGGCTTGCTAGAAAAAGCACCGTCTGTCTAACCCTGAAAGAGGCTGGCTAAGACTCCATTGAGCAGTTTCAGTCTGGGATCCACTGGCCCTGTTACTTTGGGGCATTTCACCGGGGAAGCACACACCAGATAACTCTGCTCACCACGTCACCAGAAAGCAAGAGATCACGGCCCACCACCCCTTTTCTTCTGTGAGATAGAATCTCCCAGTATAGACCACACTAGGCCCAAACTTGGAATCCTCCTCCCTCATCTCCTGAGTAGTGGGAGATTCGCTCTCTTGGGGGCATGTCTGAAGCAACCCAATTCCTTCTCTCTTAGTCCCTACCTCCTCAAGACTCCACCACATCCCAGTCACACCTACTGGGACCTCATCTTCAGCACAGACCTTTGAGAGCCACTCCAGACCCCAAGTGTAGCACTAGGAATAAAAGGTAATTGTGTAATGTCATAAACCACACAGAAAAATTGCAAGTGCAGTTGAATGAACTCCTGGTTATCCTGCAGGTGGCTTCCCAGTTATTAACCTTTGCCAAATTGCAGTGAGTACGTGTGTGTGTGCGTGTCTGTCTGTCTGTCTCCGCCTCCTTCCTTTTTCTTTTTTTTTTTTTTAATACAAAACACTTAAGATCCTTAAAAGACGACAGAGGGACATGACAACTAAGTATAATGTGTGGTCCTGAATTGGAGTCTAGGTCAGGCTGAAAATGGTGTAAGGGTTGGGACAATGAGTGGGATTTGAATTTGGACTGATGTTCTCATACCATCACAGCCTGTTAAGTTTCCAAGAAGTAGTTATGTAAAAGAATGGTCCTGCTCTTACAGTGTATGACTGGTGGGTAGTATTTAGGGGTGAAGGATTAGATCTTAACTGTTTCCAAGCACACATACATGTGCACATTATACCTAACCAGACACACCTTTTATCTCAGCACTCAGGAGGCAGAGACAGGAGGCTGTCTGTGAGTTTAAGGTCAGCCTGCTCTATATAGTGAGTTCCAGGACAGCCAGGGCCACATAGTGAGACCCTGTCTCAAAAGATCAGACGAAGTATACTTATAAGTAAACAAGCCAGACTTAGGAGAAAATCACAGAGCATTATTGAAGGACTCGTAGAAGATGACATGAATAACTGGAAATAGATACCATGATCATGGAGAGCCCCTTTGTAGCTCAAGACGATCTACCTGCCTCCACCTTCCACACTCAGGGACTACACAAAGGCCCATTCCCCAGGCCTGGTACATTTTCTTTTCCTAAACACCCCCAGCTTGTTTCTTAGGACTCTGTGCTCTGGCTGCTCCGTGCTTCTGCTCCTACCTCCTGTTATGAGGGAGGGGGAGGGGCAGGCCTTGTTTACTGCTGCATTGGGTTGCGGACTCAGAGTTGGCGCTCACAGATTTTTCATTGACTGAACAAATTACCTAACCATTGTTCATGCTGCTAAGCAGTGTGGTCCCAAATGGCAAAAGGAAGGGCTGGAGTGAGCTGTGGAGAGCTCAGAGGACAGTTCAAAGCAGTCTGACCAGAGCCAACGAGGAGTCTTTGAAAATGAGGAAGGAAAGCAAGGGCCTTGGAGAAGCAGACTGGGCCTGTGAAGGGAGCCTTGCTGACTAGGGGTGAGGCTCAGAAAGTGTGTCCTAGGGAGATGAAGGTTTACGAGCTGGGGTCAGAGGCTTGTGGGTCACTGCTGGGGTTAGAGGGGTCTGGAAGCTCCTCATTTGCTGTTTCTCCCGAGTTCTGGGTACTCTAAAAGGCTCTGTCCATCAAACTATCCGCATTCTTCACTAATTAAGGATTAGGGCTGGGGGTGTGGCTGGGTAGGAGAGTCCACAAGGCTATGGGTTCCATCCCCAGAGCAGGAAAATGAACTGGTTGGCTCCTGGTCTTTACACTCAGATTCTTTCTCATTTGCATCTACTACTGATGAGAATATCAGCATGTCCAGGCAGTGGCCATCAAGTTTGTGTGGCCGATGATGACGTGGGTTAAGGGAGGGCCTGCTTCAGGAAGGGAAGGATGGTTCAGGAA